AAAAATATTTTTAACGGTGTCTTTGATTTAAAATCTTTAAACAAGCGTGATTTTAATCCATGTCAACAATAATGATTTTGTGGATTCTCTTTAATTTTTTTTTTATTTTCCAAGACTGTATTATACACAAATTAATTTCAAATTTTTACCAGACTATGAACGATAATTTGTCTCTATAAAATGGATTTGCTCGGAATTCTTTTTTTTTTTTTTTTCAAACTTTTACCAGACAGTGTTTCTTCCAGACTTTTTTCTCCGGGGGGGGGCACTTGAAATTTTCGGGGGGGGGGGGCGGTAAACTTTCTTCGGGGGGGCGGACACTGTTAAAAGTATATGTTTTCTATATAAATTATATAAATTTCATTCCGTTCGGGGGGGGGGGGGGCGGTTAAAATTTTCGGGGGGTGGGGGGGGGGGGGCTTCGCCCCCCCGAAGAGATGCCTGGAAGAAACTCTGTTACCAGACTTCAATAATAAAATTTTGCTCTATATTAAGGGATATCTGCTGGTGCCTAAATTCTTCACTGAAGAAGAACTTGAACCTTGTAGAAAATCTATAGAAAAACTTGGTGGATGATCTGGCTCAGAAGTTGTATGATGGGGGGAAAGATCAAAAGTAAAGTTCTATTGTCATACACTTACATTTCTTTAGATTTGTATAACTTTTTAAAAATATTCCTGATTATTTAAAATTTGGTATGAAGATTCAATCATGTTTAATGATTAAATTATCATATAGAATATTTCACGAATTAAGCTTTGTGAAACTATTTTAAAACAAAATAGATTTGTACAAGGATCAAGGCTTGTTCCAGAGATTAACCTACATAGAAAAAGAGTTTCCTGGTGCCAATGTCATACTTCATAAGCTTGGGAAGCTGACGGAGGTAAAGATTTTTTTTTCCCACCAATAATAGTTTAAATTTCAAACATTAAATTAGTTTTTTGTTGTTTTATATTTTATACTTTTTAAAACTATCTTCCATTGATGTGATATCTGGGGGGGGGGGGGGGGGGGTTGGGTTGGTCGGGTGTGAAAGCTCTTGGTTAAGTCTGAGTTCAAATTCCCGATCAGATGAGGAGGGTTAGCTGGGGACAGCAACCAATCTAGAAAGGGGGGGGGGGGAACTTCCGAAATGAAATTTAAAAAAAAACTGCTTTGCAAATTTTATTTTGTGTGTTCAAATACTATGGAATCAAATCTAGAAAAAAAGCGGGCATAATTCTTGATACAAAGTGTTATAAGGCGTATTACATGTTGACACGACACACGTAAGGCCTAACTGTCTAATTGTGTAAGAGAACCTCCTATTCAATATTGCAACTATTAACAAATTGAAGGTATAGTAACTTACACAATATTTTGTAGGCCTTTTGTGATTTGTGGGCGAACGAGAGGTTGCTGAATGTGGTGGAGCAGCTGATTGGACCAGAGATTGCGGGTCATCCCAATTGGAATCTCAGAACAAAGACTCCGCAGAATGAAGCCTCTACTGTCCCCTGGCATCAAGGTAATATTAGAAAAGTGTTTACTTTTACTTAACAATATAACAAGACATTACTACCAGTGGGTTTTTTTTCAGGTATCTACCTGGGGAATGTGGGAGGCACTGTCCCCTGGAGCACGACCAACGCCCCCTTCCTCGGACAATTATATATATATACATATATATATATATATATATATATATATATATATATATATATATATATATATATATATATATATATATATATATATATATATATATATATATATATATGTGTGTATAAAATTAGTATAAAATTATATACTAAAAATAAATACTATCATCAGTGTCCGCCCCCATCGGAAAATTTAAATTGCAATGACGTTTCAAAAGAAACTCCCCCCCCCCCCCCACACACACACACCTAGGAGAAAAATATCATGGAAAAAACTTTATAACAATAATTGTATATTAAAATAATTTTACAACAACAAAAAACAGTCCAATCTAAGCTCCACTTTGAGATAAGTTGATACTTTCTGTCATTACACAATCGCCAGTGATCGTGCTGTATTTTTTTTAATCAGATAAAATAATTAATTTGATTTCCCTTCAAGGTTGCGCCTTTGGTGCGCGCTCCTTACAAAGTTCACAAACTATGACTAGAGTCAACTAAAGGCCAACTTAAGACTTTTATGTAATGGTCTCAAAAGAAGTCTATTGTTAATTAAAAAGTTAAGATTAGATATTTGTAATGTTAAACAATAATTTTGGCTTAATTCAGCAATGCTGTTAATTACTTTTATTTTCATTTATTTATTTATTTTATTTATTTTCCCCACTAATTTTGTATTCCATTGTACTTGTACATGTTTGTATGATGTTCAAATGGTTGATTTATATTTATTCTGAAATTGCTGAAATTTATGTGTATTTATTTTGAAATAAAACATCCTATACGATAAACAAAATAAAAATAAAAATAAATAAAGACTAAATATGTATCAAATGGTCGCTTCTATTATTGTATAGATTATTAGCGTCCCCACGCCCCAACTGTTTAGAAGCAAACAACATATACTTATACATAGTTAAGAGAATAGATTTGTACAAAATGCTCTCTTGAATTATTTTTGAAAGCTTTGCCGCTAGACTTACAAATATGAATTTTTAAAATAATTTGCTGCATTTAGAATATTGGTAGCACTTCTTGATAGTTTCTTTCAAGCATTTCTTCGGGGGGGGGGGGGGGGGGAAACATGTCTACCCCTCTCCGTCCCGAATAAAATAGAAAAAGTGTATAAGTGATATAGAAATTATTCATTCTAACCCATTTCCGCCACCCCCGGAAATTTTAATGCACCCCCTCACTAAAATTTTAAATTCCCCCCACCCCCACTTTTCTGGAGAAAAAAAATCTAAAATAAGCACTGCTTATTTATAATGTCTATATTTTAAAAAATTGTAACGTTAAATATCTGTTTCCATTCCTAGACAGCGCATATTTAGATAACGACTCCTACAGCGTCCTCTACCCCACGGCCTGGATCCCATTTTTAGACACCAACAAGGGAGAATGGATGCATGGAGGTAGAGTTTCATTTCACACTCACTAAAACTGTAAACAATAGGGCTGGTAAGTAGGTCACCAACCAGTTCTAATACAATAGGGCTGGTAAGTAGGTCACCAACCAGTTCTATGGCTCAATAAACACTGCATGAGCCATAGAACTGGTTGGTGACCTACTTACCAGCCCTATTGTATTAGAACTGGTTGGTGACCTACTTACCAGCCCTATTGCAGCGCCGAGTTGAAACATTAAACAGTATTAAATAAAATATAAAACTTTTATAATAACAAGCTTTCAAATGCATTGAAAATAAGAAAATAAAACAAACACACATTCTTTAATAAAAGCTTTGCTCGCTAACAAATATAAGAGCTAGTTAATGTCTAATTATATAACAAAATAAATATTTATGCATTACCCTCAACAGTAGAATCGATGCATTACAAGTGTGTAAAATTGAGTTACAAGATATGTCACAAACCCACAAACAAACAAATGAATGTTGCGAAATAGATAAAAGCTTGTAAAAAGTAAAGATTCCTCTTTAGACTCTGCGATTCATTAGGCTTAAAAGGAAGAATACTTTTGTTTCTTGATCTCCGCATATAAGGAGACTGTGTGGTCAGCACCAGTGTTTCTTCCAGACTTTTTTCTCCGGGGGGGGGGGGGCACTTGAAATTTTCGGGGGGGCGGTAGACTTTCTTCGGGGGGGGGGGGCGGACACTGTTAAAAGTATATATTTTCTATATAAATTATATTAATTTCATTTCGTTCGGGGGGGGGGGGGGGCGGTAAAAAAATTTCGGGGGGGGGGGGGGCTAAGCCCCCCCCCCCCTCCCGAATAGATGCCTGGAAGAAACTCTGGTCAGCACTATGTCCGGGCGCCATTACTATCTCTAAGGTGTACTCATGGACATCATGCGGTCTAGAGTCAAAAACAAGATCTGAAATCTAGACTTTCTGGACAATAGTTGAGAACTCTACCACCCGACTACGCCGTCCTATACTTATTTGAATTAGCTTTTGATAAAACACTGTAAATTAAGATGTAGGCCTACTTCTATGGAATACCTAATGCTGATATCATTAAGAAATTAAATTAATGTCTCGGTAATGTTTATAACAGGTAATATCAGGTGGTCACCTGGTCGGCAAAGTGGCAAGACACACCTGTTGCTGGAAGGACACCTGGTATATTGAAACAGACGAGGAGGATGCTGCAAAAACGCTTAGTCAGTTGTGGTTTGTTTTTTGTGGGTTTTTTTTTTTTTTTTTTTTAATAAGTTAACTATAAGCAAGTTTTTTTTTTTTTGCTTTGGGTTGTTTGTTTTTTTTTTTCATTTATTTATTTTTTTTTTTGTTACATCAGCTTATTCAACTTGGCAACTTTTAGCCTCTTGGAATTCGGTTATCTTGCTTAACAAGTACTTTTCATATCTTCGCTATCAGTCATTTTTTACTTGTAAGATTTTTTATTATAAACACTTTTAGGCAACATTGATTTTTTATGCGTTTGTTACCGAATTAAATTTAGATAAGTGGAAAGGTGTCTTGAAACTGAATCACAGCATGCATTAGTTCATTGGTACTTTAGGTTTTGACAAAATGTTGCAGACAATAACGTTACTTTACTTAGTTATCCTTCAAACTGGGTAGTTGATAGGGCAGGTGAAGCAGAATTTACCTGTTTTTTGTGACCTAGGCATATGAAGGAAAGTTTGGTCAGCACTGTGCCTTTACTTTCCCTAACATGAGTCAGGTACCCATATGAGCTGGGTGGACTCGGAGACATCCTACGGACTCAAGCACGAGATTTGAACTCGAAACTTTCGATTTACCAACTGGCCGTCTCATACTAAAACGATACTTAAGCAGGGTGAATATGTCGCCTTATAATTTCCACTTTAGCAAGCTACCTTTACTACATATCGCGTCTTTTAAAGTAAATACACTAGCTCTGTTGACATTATAATTTATCGATCATTTTTACAAACGCTTTTTCTTCTATTCGTCGTTTTAAAAATTGTAATGTTGGAAGGAATTTCCTCCATTACAATTAAGAATGCCGTGTTAACCTATTATGCGCCATATAGGACTTTGACTCCTATGGTAAGTCTGCCTTTCTTTTTGGGTTTGCTTCCGTAGCCTATGTCCATTCAAGAACAAACTACAACAGCTGTTTTCTCTCCTAGATTGGTTTGCTGTCCCATGCTATCGAGCCTCATCTGCCCGGGGGTTCGAACTCGGACTTTTTGGTTTAACAGCCATGAGCTTTATTGACCCGACTATATCGCGTTTTCATCAATTATATTTTCGTAATTATATATGTAAATTTGTAATAAAAATTGATGAATACATTGTATTACTCGTCAAGCCATAGATTAAACATGATTGCAATATTACATTAATAGCAACCATACACCAATTTCTATTTAACCCGCGAACACCTTTTTATTTAAAAATGTGAGAAAATATTTTTTTTTTAGATGTAGATTTTGTGAAGGACAAAGTCCTGTGTCCAGTTCCCTATGGTGGAATGCTGCTCATAAACAACATGATACCCCATAGAAGGTATATTTTTATTATAATTAGGTATTCTGAAGAGTAAATAGATCAACATGCTTTATTTTTACATCTGCATTCTTTAAAACACATTTTACTTTTAATATGCAATTTTAAAAACTGACTTTCGTACGATACATTTTAAGATGGAACTCTCGTAAATTCAAATTGAATTATTATTTTGTTTTGTTTTGTTGTTGTTGTCGTTGTTGACGTTGTTTTTGTTGGTGTTTTTTTTTTTTTTTTTTTTTTCACTAAAAGGTTGAATTTGTTTTTGTTTTTTTTTTAAATTCTAAGCGTAGACTAAAATTGGATAAAACAATGTAATATTATAGTCTACTTTAAAATTATTTATATTATAAAATTGTATATCGTATCTTTACCAGTCTGAACAATTGCTCTGACGTGATCCGCTGGAGCGTGGACCTTCGCTGGCACGCACCAGACAAGCCCGTGGGCTTCTATGGGCTGAAGCAGAGCGTCTTGATGAGGTCGGAGAAAAATCCGGTGGAGAAAATCGACTGGGAATCGTTCAACAATGTTGACAGACATTCGGAGGCCGACAAAAACTGCAAGGTATATGCAGTGTTTCTTTCAGACTTGTTTCTCCGAGGGAGAGGGGAGGCGGACTAAATTTTCCGGGGGTGCGGAACTAAATTTTCCGGGGGTGCGGAACTAAATTTTCCGGGGTTGCGGAAATTTCGTTCAGGGGGGGGGGGGCGGTAGACATGCTTCGGGGGCCATAATTTACTGTTTTTTTCTGTATAACTCATGTTTTAAAAACTGCAAAATATGAGCTAGAGCTCGTTGCAGTTTAAAGGTTTTTTTTCTAAAGCTAAAGTGGCTCTTGTTATAAAAAGCCTTAAGTTTTCTAAAACTGCAAGATATGCCAAAAACTCAAGTTAAACTCAAGTGCCTCTGTTATCAGTTAAAACTGGCCTAATTTTAAAAGTGTAGAAAAAACAGATAGCTACTGTTAATTCTGTATTTGTCATGAAGCTTCCGGGGTAAAACCTGGGTCCAGTGTCCATGACTTACATTTCATTTGAACCCGCTTGCACACTAACAATTTAAACAGACAGAAAAGTTAACCCTTTCGAGCCTGAAGGTCCACAAGGCAGGTGAATTAGAGTTCACTTCTTTTTGTGACCTCGGCATATGAAGGAATCGTGTGGTCTGCACTATGCTCAGCCGCGTTTACTTTTCCCTAACGGGAGTTCGGTACCCCATCAGAGATAGGTAGACTCAGGGACGTTCTACGCGGATCTGAACTCGAAACTTTCCGGTTAGCGCTCTACCACTACGCCACGCCATCCCATCGGTAATAAATACTAGTTTAAAAAATCAATGTTGACAAAGTGTTAGCAGTCTACGCCCCACTATGCCGACACTAACATACTGCCACTAACACACCACCACTAACACACCACCACTAACACACCGCCACTAACACACCGCCACTAACACAAACCCTCTAACACATCGCCACTAACACACCGCCACTAACACACCGCCACTAACACACCGCCACTAACACACCGCCACTAACACACCGCCACTAACACACCGCCACTAACACACCGCCACTAACACACCGCCACTAACACACCGCCACTAACACACCGCCACTAACACACCGCCACTAACACACCGCCACTAACACACCGCCACTAACACACCGCCACTAACACACCGCCACTAACACACCGCCACTAACACACCGCCACTAACACACCGCCACTAACACACCGCCACTAACACACCGCCATTAACACACCGCCTCTAACACACCGCCACTAACACACCGCCACTAACACACCGCCACTAACACACACCCTCTAACACACCACCACTAACACACCACCACTAACACACCGCCACTAACACACCGCCACTAACACACCGCCACTAACACAAACCCTCTAACACATCGCCACTAACACACCGCCACTAACACACCACCACTAACACACCGCCACTAACACACCGCCACTAACACACCGCCACTAACACACCGCCACTAACACACCGCCACTAACACACCGCCATTAACACACCGCCACTAACACACCGCCACTAACACACCGCCACTAACACACCGCCTCTAACACACCGCCACTAACACACCGCCACTAACACACCGCCACTAACACACCGCCACTAACACACCGCCACTAACACACCGCCACTAACACACCGCCACTAACACACCGCCTCTAACACACCGCCTCTAACACACCGCCTCTAACACACCGCCACTAACTCAGCCTGTAACACATCGCCTCTAACATACCACCACTAACACACACCCTCTAACACACCGCCACTAACACACCGCCACTAACACACCGCCACTAACACACACCCTCTAACATTCCGCCACTAACACACCGCCTCTAACACACCGCCTCTAACACACCGCCACTAACACACCGCCACTAACACACACCCTCTAACATTCCGCCACTAACACACCGCCTCTAACACACCGCCTCTAACACATCGCCACTAACACACCGCCACTAACGCACACCCTCTAACATACCGCCACTAACACACACCCTCTAACATACCGCCACTAACACACACAATCTAACACACCGCCTCTAACACACCGCCTCTAACACATCGCCACTAACACACCGCCACTAACGCACACCCTCTAACATACCGCCACTAACACACACCCTCTAACATACCGCCACTAACACACCGCCACTAACACAAACCCTCTAACACATCGCCACTAACACACCGCCACTAACACACCGCCACTAACACACCGCCACTAACACACCGCCTCTAACACACCGCCACTAACACACCGCCACTAACACACCGCCACTAACACACACCCTCTAACACACCACCACTAACACACCACCACTAACACACCGCCACTAACACACCGCCACTAACACACCGCCACTAACACAAACCCTCTAACACATCGCCACTAACACACCGCCACTAACACACCACCACTAACACACCGCCACTAACACACCGCCACTAACACACCGCCACTAACACACCGCCACTAACACACCGCCACTAACACACCGCCATTAACACACCGCCACTAACACACCGCCACTAACACACCGCCACTAACACACCGCCTCTAACACACCGCCACTAACACACCGCCACTAACACACCGCCACTAACACACCGCCACTAACACACACCCTCTAACATACCGCCACTAACACACCGCCACTAACACAAACCCTCTAACACATCGCCACTAACACACCGCCACTAACACACCGCCACTAACACACCGCCACTAACACACCGCCACTAACACACCGCCTCTAACACACCGCCACTAACACACCGCCACTAACACACCGCCACTAACACACACCCTCTAACACACCACCACTAACACACCACCACTAACACACCGCCACTAACACACCGCCACTAACACAAACCCTCTAACACATCGCCACTAACACACCGCCACTAACACACCACCACTAACACACCGCCACTAACACACCGCCACTAACACACCGCCACTAACACACCGCCACTAACACACCGCCACTAACACACCGCCATTAACACACCGCCACTAACACACCGCCACTAACACACCGCCACTAACACACCGCCTCTAACACACCGCCACTAACACACCGCCACTAACACACCGCCACTAACACACCGCCACTAACACACCGCCACTAACACACCGCCACTAACACACCGCCACTAACACACCGCCACTAACACACCGCCACTAACACACCGCCACTAACACACCGCCACTAACACACCGCCACTAACACACCGCCACTAACACACCGCCACTAACACACCGCCACTAACACACCGCCACTAACACACCGCCATTAACACACCGCCTCTAACACACCGCCACTAACACACCGCCACTAACACACCGCCACTAACACACACCCTCTAACACACCACCACTAACACACCACCACTAACACACCGCCACTAACACACCGCCACTAACACACCGCCACTAACACAAACCCTCTAACACATCGCCACTAACACACCGCCACTAACACACCACCACTAACACACCGCCACTAACACACCGCCACTAACACACCGCCACTAACACACCGCCACTAACACACCGCCACTAACACACCGCCATTAACACACCGCCACTAACACACCGCCACTAACACACCGCCACTAACACACCGCCTCTAACACACCGCCACTAACACACCGCCACTAACACACCGCCACTAACACACCGCCACTAACACACCGCCACTAACACACCGCCACTAACACACCGCCACTAACACACCGCCACTAACACACCGCCTCTAACACACCGCCACTAACTCAGCCTGTAACACATCGCCTCTAACATACCACCACTAACACACACCCTCTAACACACCGCCACTAACACACCGCCACTAACACACCGCCACTAACACACACCCTCTAACATTCCGCCACTAACACACCGCCTCTAACACACCGCCTCTAACACACCGCCACTAACACACCGCCACTAACACACACCCTCTAACATTCCGCCACTAACACACCGCCTCTAACACACCGCCTCTAACACATCGCCACTAACACACCGCCACTAACGCACACCCTCTAACATACCGCCACTAACACACACCCTCTAACATACCGCCACTAACACACACAATCTAACACACCGCCTCTAACACACCGCCTCTAACACATCGCCACTAACACACCGCCACTAACGCACACCCTCTAACATACCGCCACTAACACACACCCTCTAACATACCGCCACTAACACACACAATCTAACACACCGCCTCTAACACACCGCCTCTAACACATCGCCACTAACACACCGCCACTAACGCACACCCTCTAACATACCGCCACTAACACACACCCTCTAACACACCGCCACTAACACACCGCCACTAACACACCGCCACTAACACACACCCTCTAACACACCGCTTCTTGTGACAAAGTTTCATTTTTTTAAATGCCTAAATCAACTTAAGAAAAACTGATTTTAACATTATTCTCCAACTACTTGTTGCATCCAAAGCTACTCGTGTACTGAAAACGTTGCCGTCATACTATGAACTCCATCATTTTACTTAATTAATAGGCCTACGCCATATCTCTTTTTACCTTAAGATGATGATGACAATGATTTTTTTAATAAAACAAACATGTATCCCACAATTTTTAACATGTCTACCTTAATATGATGATGATACAGATACGTTTAATAACACAAAAAAAAACATCTAACCCACCATTTCTAACATTTTTACCTTAAGATGATGATGACAAAGATTCCTTTAATAAAAAAAAACATCTATCCCACAATTTCTAACATTTTTACCTTAAGATGATGATGACAAAGATTCCTTAAATAAAAAAACATCTATCCCACAATTTCTAACATTTTTACCTTAAGATGATGATGACAAAGATTCCTTTAATTAAAAAAAACATCTATCCCACAATTTCTAACATTTTTACCTCAAGATGACGATGACAAAGATTTCTTTAATAAAAAAAAAACATCTATCCCACAATTTCTAACCTTTTTACATTAGGATGATGATGACAAAGATCCCTTTAATAACAAAAAACCATCTATCCCACAATTTCTAACATTTTTACCTAATGATGATGATGACAAAGTTTCCTTTAATTAAAAAAAACATCTATCCCACAATTTCTAACATTTTTTATCTAAGGATGACGATGACAAAGATCCCTTTAATAACAAAAAACATCTATCCCACAATTTCTAACATTTTTACATTAAGATGATGACGACAAAGATACGTTTAATAACACAAAAAAACATCTAACCCACCATTTCTAACATTTTTACCTCAGGATGACGATGAAAAGGACCCCTTTGACACCACCATTGTAGGACCCTGGATGCTGAAATGGGACATGACCCACACTAATCGCCACACAGAAAAACTGAAAACCAGAAGTCAGAGTTCCTGGCAGAAGTCATAACTTCACCAACTGATGCCGTTATGTTCTAGAGAATGCGGTATTTTAACACACGGGAGGGCACCCGGTTATTAACTTGATACGCCATTGCTTGTTTTATACTTTTGAATTACCTTATTACCTTTATAATGGTACATAACCCAGCATATTCATTCAAAACTTTAAAACGTAAAGTGTTGTCGAACAGTGTTTTGAATATTTGATGAAAGTAGTGTTTCTTACAGACTTTTATCTCCGGGGAGGGGCACAGGGGCGGAACTACAGTGCCGCCAGACCCCGCAATGCGGGGGGGCCCAGACCGATTGGGGGCCCAAAAATCCTGGCTAAATTATTAAAAAAAAAATTTAAATTTAAATAAAAAAAATTAGGTGGATGTCGAGTTATCTTTCTTCTACAGTTACAAACAAACACGATAGTCGGCAAACGTCTATGAGAAAAATGCACAGACTATTGCTCGAGAGACCGCCAGACATATAGACAACTTCAAAGACGCAGCCTACCGTTCTTTTTTAGTGGTGTCGATTAGGAGAACAAAAAAGCTTTGAAAATCGGGCTGGGGAAATGTTGCGGCGACTATCCTGGTCTTCTAGACGACCGGAAAAAGTCGGCACTATTGATGTAGATGTTCATCGGCGCTTTCTTGTCCCCTTCCCTTGAACCTTCCCAACTCTCTACCCTCCCCCCATCCCCCTAACCTCTACCCCTCACCACACCCTTACTCTTACAATAAGATGTAATGCATAGATTAACGAACCGTTTATGAACTACTGAACTGTAAACTGACCACTTCTGCACATTTTGTTAAAGACACTAGTCAGTAGTTGTTCATTTACCTGATGAAGTATTTCGTTGACGAATCTAATTCACACAACAAGAAGGTAAGACTCGTCTTTATATTATTAATCGTTTTATAATTAGTAAACGTGTTAATGGAAAATTAGTTATTAACACTAAATACATTAAAGTTAAAATTTTTTAGGATACAATGATCTAGCTTTTAAGCCTAAAAACAACCAAAAGATCTATACAGGGGCGGAACTACAGTGCCCCCAGACCCCGCAATGCGGGTGGGGGGGGGGGGGGCAGGCCGTTTAGGGGCCCACTGCTGACCATAATTAGTATTTTTTTAAATTTTGAATTTAATTTTCGTGCATTTTTGCCTTGATATTTAGTTTGTAAAAGAAAAACACTGTAGCTGCGGTACGATTATCTTTATTTTACAGTCACTATACCACGCTCTTCAGCAAAAAAAATAAAATCCATTACACAAAATACAGAGTAAAATATAGGCAACGCTTCAAATTTGAATGACACATTTGACTCGTTGCCCCCCTTTGATAGCTAAATAGAGGACACGTAACTGTTTGACCGATCCTCCAAAGTGTACTGTGGCGGATGGGGCAGGGGATGGGGATAACATTTCTTTTTATTTATAGTTGTATTTTTTAACCATCGTCAAGGCCGAGTTCTATTTCCCCACGCTGTCGCCGGCAAAATTCTTTTTAAAAAAACAACAAAGACCATAGCACGAGAAGCCGCTACACATGAAGTGGCTTTCATGATGCGCGGTTCTTCGTTTCGGCATTAGTTAGGGACCCGCCGAAATCCATTTAACATTTTTCAATGTTAATATGTGTTAGTGATAGTGGTTGAATTTGTATTCTGTACTATCTTGTATCCTACAAATAATAAAAAAGAATATAATACTAGAAACTTCGTTTTTATATACGTTTACTGGTTTTTTTTTTACTTTTACAAGAAATATCATAGTAAACTTTTAAGGCCTATACTTGGAATTATCTCCCCTGAGTAAGTTTTACAATGGGCGATGCTGACGTACATAGATCAAGGCGTTTTGTCGTCTCTTTCAAGTTTTTTTCCCGAGCCGACCCCTATCCCATCCCTCTTTCTCAACCTCACAAGTATCGAGGAGATAAATGTATCGTTTATGAACTACTTCCTAACCGTACGATTCACCACTTCAGCACATTTTGTCAGACACTAGACAGCACTAGTCAACAGATATTGATTTATTTGCATACTATTAGTATTAGGCACATCTAATTCACAAAACAGGGAAGGTAAGATTATTTTTTATATAATTATTTAGAAATTAATTAGAACGTTTAGAATTAATTGAACATTATTATATAATTAATAGTCAATTACTATTTATCAATGACGTTATTGAGGTGGGGGGGGGGGGGTGTGTGTGAGGGTCTGGCTTTTTGTTAGTCGTTAAAAAATGTGACGTCATTTGTGGATTCCCCCCCCCCCTTAAATCAGAAAGTTATCCGACGCGTGAGCTGGCCACATACAGTTGTACATGTGAAAAACACGTTTCTGTCTATTTTGCATTACTGCATCATTTACCCAATCGCCATGAAAACTTTGGAAGCTGTTGAGGACAGCCACCAGTGTTTCTTCCAGACTTTTTTCTCCGGGGGGGGGGGGGGGCACTTGAAATCTTCGGGGGGGGGGGCGGTAAACTTTCTTCGGGGGGGGGGGCGGACACTGTTAAAAGTATATATTTTCTATATAAAGTATAGAAATTTCATTTCGTTCGGGGGGGAGGGGGTGGTAACAAAATTTTCGGGGGGGCTTCGCCCCCCCCCCCAAGAGATGCCTGAAAGAAACTCTGAATGTAACCGGTAGCTCCCAAAAGCCCCGTGACTCCCCTGACACCTGGGCCGTCGCCGAGGGACTTACAGCATGCCTTGGCGTGTCTAGTTGGTAGAAATGAACTGCCGAAATTGTTAATATTTAATTCAACTTCTGGTAAACAGGGCACACGTCTAAAAATTACACGATTGTTAACGTTTTGATAAAAGCCTCTTAATATTTAATAAATCATCGTCAGTTTAGTGCAGGGGTCTCCAAACTTTTCAGTCCGAGGGCCGCATAAACTATCAAATTTCAGTTGGGGGGCCAGTTTCTTCCAGGCATGTCTTTGATTTTTCTGGGCAAAGTTCCTCAGCCATCACCAACAAACGTTTTTTCCTTGGACAAAAAGATCACCGCGGGCCGGATGAGGGGACATCGCGGGCCGCATCCGGCCCGCGGGCCGTAGTTTGGAGACCCCTGGTTTAGTGTGTCGGGCTAGATTTAGAGAGTCGGTGTTTCTCACTTCGAAAACTTAATATATATATATATATATATATATATATATATATATATATATATATATATATATATATATATATATATATATATATATATATATATATATAGGGGCCCAAAAAAAAATTCTGCGGGGGGGCCTTTTTTTTCTAGTTCCGCCACTGGAGGGGCACTGATATTTTCGGGAGAGGGGGGGGGGGCTTAATTTTCCGGGGGGGGGGGGGGACACTATTAAAAGTATGTTTTCTATATAAATTCCACTTCGTTCGGGAGAAGAGGGGCGGTAGACTTTCTTCGAGGGGGGGGGGGCGAAGATATGCCTGGAAGAAACTCCGGATGAAAGTCTCTTATGTCTATGAAGTCACTTAAAAAACGGTTTTTTATTTTTTTTAAATTTAAGTTTGTTTTTTAAATAACCAGAATCGGTGCTTAAAAAGAAACACGGCTTTGAAATGTAAACTTTTAATTCAGCACTAGCAAAATCAGTAACCCATACCTAACTTAACCCTACCCTAACCCCACATTTAATCCATTCAAACCTAACATAAAATGTACATTTAGAAACATTTAAATTAAAGGAATGTTTTTAATATATTACGGAAAAAAACTTATGTTTTGAAATATGTTCAGATATCCAATTTAATCAGCTTGTATGAAATAAAGTTTATAAATGCTTTTGAATTTGTTTTTAAACTTTTTATGTGTGCTTGTCTTAGTGTATTTGATCAAGCTAATCGTGTATTGCCAGGCTTTCACCGTAATGGCAAAACAGAGAGTTACTATTGTATATAGATTTGTCAATTTCACAATAGCAATTAGAAAGAATAATAGCAGGTGACGTTAGTATCTAATTATTTCAATATTATTTCTCTTCACCCGCTTCTTTTTGAAAAAAATAGTATATCTTCTTTTTCGTTCTTCATTTTGAATGTTGGAAATGATTTTCTCCTACACAATTAAGTATTACGTGCCAAATTTTTATGCGCCATTGAGGCCATTGACTCCGATTTCAGCCTGTTTTTCTTTTTGGATTTGCTTCCATAGCTTTTGTCCAAACAAGAACAATTTGGGTTGAAATTTGGGGTTTACTCTTAGCCCAGTGACGCGGTAGTTTCGATACTAATTAATAGAAAAAAAAAATATTATTGGGCAAGTATTATAAAGCATATGAAGGGTTAGTGTGGTCAGCACTATGCCAGTCGCCTTTACTTTCCCTAACGTTGGTCAGGTACCCATCAGAGCTGGATGAACTCATATTTAAAATGTGTGTGCATCTTGCCAGAGGCGTAGCGAAGGGGGGGGGAGGGGGTATATATATGTCCCCGGGCGCCGACCCTAGGGGGCGCCAAAATGGGTTGGACAAAAATTAAAAGCTCGTTTTAGCTGCAGCTTTGCATTAAAAATATAAGAAAATATAGGGGGGGGGGGGGAGTTTGAAGTTTGTCCGGGGGGGGGGGGGCAAATTGGAAGTTTGTCCCCGGGCGCCGGGAAGGGTCGCTACGCCTTTGCATCTGGCATAACAAAATAGATCATGCTTAGACTGTATTAAACAGCCTTAAATTGCTTAAAATTAGATTAATTGTATAAGTTACCTCCCATTACTAAATGTATGAGAACCAAGGAAAATAGCCAACAATAACGCCGTTAAAAATGAAAAATTCAACAGCAATAAAATGAAAATGTATATTAACGTTTAATATTATAAGATACGTTAATTTTATAAAACGTTAAATAAATAAGCATCTATTACTTAGATTTTATAAGTATAAAAATTATTATTCGATTCTTAGTTAATACGAAAAACTATTTATTTTATGTTTATACTTTTAAAAGTAATAGAATAAATGATTTATCAACTATGATTACGCGAGTTGTTGAATGTAATTACACATTTTACTCATTTGCTATTTACTTCCACACTCCTCGTGATTAAACGAAAAGGTTGTTGAACTGCGAAAATGGTCGCTCAGAAGAAAGCGAAAAAGACAGCAGACAACATCAATGCCCGTTAGGCACAGGTGATTGAAATCTGGCAAATATGTTTTGGGCTATAAGCAGACACTCAAGACCTTGAGAGCTGGAAAAGCTAAGCTTGTAATTATTGCCAACAACATTCCACCACTGAGGAAGTCAGAGATTGAGCAGAGGCGTAGCGACCCTTCCCGGCGCCTGGGGACAAACTTTTCGATTTGCACCCCCCCCCCCCCCACCTCAAGATTTCGATTTGCACCCGCCCCTCAAACTTTCGATTTGCCCCCCCCCTCAAACTTTCAATTTGCACCCCCCTCAAACTTTCAATTTATTTTTCCATCCCATTTTGGCGCCCCCTAAGGTCGGCGCCCGGGGACATATGTCCCCCCCCCCCCCTCGCTACGCTACTGAGAATGAGTACTATGCTATGTTGGCCAAGACTGGAGTCCACCACTATGGGGGAAACAATATTGAGCTAGGTACAGCCTGCGGAAAGTATTTCCGTTGCTGCACCCTGTCAATCACAGACCCAGGTGACTCTGATATCACCCGCAGCATGCCAACAGAGCAACAGCCAGATGCTTCTTAGATTGAATTAATAAAGTTATCTGTTTAAAAAAAACAATTAATTACACATTAAGGAGTTATCCATAAATGACGTCAGGTTTTTTGGACGATTTTTACCTTCCCCCCCCCCCTCCCCTCCGTCACACGTCGTCACAAAAAGCCAGACCCCCCCCCCCCCTAAAATGACGTCACACCTCAGCCGAGGACCACCTCCCCCCCCCCCCCCCCCTCAAAATAGCTGTTGAATTTTTCTTATAACATCGATATTTTTCCAAAATCTTGTCTGAACTCTGTCAACATAGAGTATTTTTATCAATTCCCATTACTATTTATTTTTTATTTTTTTTTACTTATTACTATTTATTAAAACCGTTTTCTAAAACGCGAAATAACGGCTAAAACTCGTTTTCTAACATTGCTTTTTATAAATGAAAAAAAAAGTGACGTCACACTATCTGAAACCCCCCTCCCTCATCACATTACGTCAAAAAATTACAGACCCCCCTCCCCGCCTACACCTACCAGTGTGACGTCATTTATGGACGACCCCGTATACATTAAATGATTGAAAGTAGGATACAAGTAAGAAAGAAATATTACTATTATAATTGTAAATCTGTATCAGTCCTCACAAGCCGATGATGAAAACTGTAATACTAAAGCGAACACACAACTG